CTCAAATCATCCTGAAATCTCCTATATCCTCCTGTCTGTGGAAAAGTTGTCTTCCACAAAATTGGTCCCTGATGTCCAAAAGGCATGGGACTGCTATTATGGGATCCTTAATTCTTCATAGGGAAGTCATCTTATTTAGTTTAGATTTCAATTAGTAACTGATCCAGATCACTGAAAGCTTTACCAGAGTGGAGGAGAGGAGCAGAGTAAACCTGCAGACTCAGACAGAGCACAGACTGTGGTGTCAAAAGGAAGCATGGTGCTTCGGATAGTCATTGAGCCTAGAAATGCAGGCACCAGCACTTTGAAGAGTAATTGGAGAGATGCAAGGCCTCTAAAACATTAAAGAATTGATATTATAACTTGGAGAAATTGCATGCCCTAGTTCAGGCTTCTGTAACAAAGTCAGAGACTAGTTGCTTATCACAACAGACATGTATTTCTCCCAGGTCTGTGGGGTGGAAGTCTGAGTTCCAGAAGGTACCAGCCAGGTAGCATTCTAGTAAAGACCTTCTTCAGAACTGCGACTTCCATCGCTGGTTGTATCCTACCATGGCAGAAAGAAAGAGAGAGACCCCTGCTCTGCATTTATAAGGGGTTGATCTTGCCCATGAGGATTTAACCCTCATGCCCTTGTAATCCAAATCACTTCCTGGAGGCTCCCCTTTCTAATACCATGATACTGAGGGATACAAACTTCGAGGGAACACAGTCTGTAACCTTTTATAAACAAAAATGCAGACAGTTCTAGAGTTCCATAATGGTTCTTCAACTACATAGTGGCTGCCCACTGTAGCTTTTTTATGGGAAAAATAGAGGTACAGCATGACCTAGAATAAGATCAATCTAGATTGTCAAAGAGATACTACATTCTTTGCTTTTAAACAAAGTGTTTTTCAATGCTTCAGTAAGCAGATTAAGGCTTAATGTAACTTTATTACATTTTATTAAACTTTACTTAATTCAGGTACATCACAAAAAATGAGTGCCTCCCAATAATAAAATCTGGGTTAGTTCTCTAAGAAAGTTATAGAAAATCATTGTAGATTTGCTGCAGGGTGTATCCCTTAGAAAAGTAGGTGCTGATATCATGGAATCATTGTGAGTGGCTTTTAATAAAGAATTGGAACTGGTCACTCTGAAGAGTCTTATTTGGGAGGATAAACCACCCTTGAGCCCCTGAAGGTGGCTTTGGTCAGGGTTACCAAGAGCATCTTCCCTTAAGTGGGCTGATATACAACCCTGCTGCTACCCTCAGGTGAGTGCAGTCAGATCCTTTGCTTCTGATATCCAACATAAAATATACTTATCTCCTATATCTGGATTGTAGAGGGAGGAAAAAGGGCCTTTGTGGTGGGCCCGTGATTTGAATAACAGAAACCACTTGAACTCAGAATTCTGTGGTTATCTAGCCGTCGGGCAATAGCCATGTGTCTGTGAAGGAGATGACTGCAGAGCTTGTAACCTTTGGAGCCCTGGCAGGAGGTAACCTTGGTCAAACTGTCACTGAGGCAGTGAGATCTTCCTTCAGGGGCCACATCAGTAGTTTTCTGACATTCTCTCTCAAAACCATGGAGGAGGCAGGATGCCAGCAAGAAACAAGGTGAGGTCCTCTGGCTGGTGGTGGAATTCTTTAAGCCTTCCAGATTCATAGACAAGTCAGGAGTGATAGCAGGAATGGCCTCAAGAGAGAGATGATGAGCTTTCTGCTTATTTGGCAGGTACTTTGTCTAATGATTAGTTGGAAAAATGAGACTCAAGAGAACTTGTGTCTGGGGGTTGTAGGCAAGTACGCATAATGTGTTCATTTAATGGTGTGGACCTTTTCAATGAACCTTTTTATATTCTTTTAACATCCTATAAGAAAAATCTCCCCACACAATGTGGTAAACAGTTATCCAGATCACATGGATATTACCCAACTACTGCAGTCAATATTTTAATAGGCAGCACTCGATAAAGAGGCTCTTTTTCATAAATTATTTATTCTTTTCTTTCACTGGTAAATGCTATATATTGCAATCATATATAAAACAACCAATGATCCCATATTTCATGGGAATTATTTATGACAGTTGCACTAGATGTAAAATTGCTCCGCAGTGGAAGACTAATGGATTTTGACTGTGAAGCAGTAAAAGAAGGAAACATATTTTTAGGAAAGACATGGTTAGGAATTTTTTCACCCACATGCCTTTTCCTTTTAAGAAAATTTCTGCAGTTAATAAAATAAAAGTTGAAATATCATCCTTTTTCATTCATTTCCGAATTTTCCTCGCAGAAAGAAATGCAGAGCCAATGAGCTAAGCCTGCCGGTTGTCGCTGCAGGAGGGAGTCCTGGAGCCCAGGTGGGGGCTTGGGCACAGACCGACAGCCTCAGGGGAGCGTATGTAAACACAGCGCGGAAGTAGGTGGTAGAGAGGCCATGCTGGGAGGCTGCAATGTGCAGAGCGCTGAGATGGGCTTTAGTATCAAATGAGGCTGCTGTCATTCCTGCTTTACCGCTCCATTTGACAGCAATACAAACATAAATTCCAGGCTCTCCCTCAGGTCCTATCTGTACCGGTGCAGTGGTCCTGAAGCAGCGCTTGAGTAATTGCAGTCGGTAGTGCGGCCTTCTCTCTCCCAGGTGCTCAGGGACCAAAGGCTGTGCTGCACTTTCACCTCTCCAATTGACACTGTTCAAAGGGAACATTTCAGAAGGAGACGTTCGCTGGTTACCCCATCATCCAGTTTCTCCTCAGGGAACCCGCATGATGTACACTCACCCTCGTTGTTCACCTACCCCTGAACATTGTTTAGATAGTTCTTCCACACCCCCGCCCCCACGACTCTTTCTGATAAACCCTAAACATTCAGTCTACCACAATCACTGTTAGTGGAGTCTCCATTTTTTTTAAGTCCAGTTCACTGAAGAGTCTGATGTAGAAACCTCGAGAGTTGACCAGAGCTCTCCAAATGTAAGTTTTTACTTTCTCTACAGAAGCACAATTTCAACAGATGTTCCAGCCAATTACAGTCACTCCATGAAATTCACTCGGTTCCTCCTTTTCATTTAAAAAAAAAAAAAAAAAAAAGGCAGCCGTGGGCTGAAGTTGTGAGTGGAAACAGTGCCCTCTTCAGGATACTTGCCGCAATTACTGAGCACACAATTTCCTAAAATTGACATGCACAGGTAGATTTTGCTTCTTGTAAACCAGAAAGTGTCCTTAAAAATTTCTTAGCAAATTAATTTTTAGAATTGTATTTGCCTCATGAGGAGATTATTTCAAGTGACATAAATGTAATCAAATAAATTTAGGTAAGTTGAAAAATGCGTGGGCTCCTTTAAGCTTACAAGAAGTGTACCTGGGCTTCAGGCATCTGGGAGGCCAGGGGATGGAATCCTACAAGGACACTGCTTTCCTTCCACTGCTCACTCAATCTCTCAATCTCTCTCTCTCTCCCTCTCTGTAGCTTAATGCACTCAGACAACATTTCACCATGAAGCAGGAGATGCGATTGCAAACATTTCCTACATTCACAATGTACTACCAAAAAAATATCAAGCCTGTTAAATCTAAAATTAAAAAATTCTTGGAGAGGGCTTTAGTTTTCTCAGTCTGAGTCAGGTTTCCCTCCAAGATGTTATAACATGGCTAGAATGCTTCCTTTCCCAAAAGTAAGTTGCTTTTCTGGTGTGGAAAAACAGTAGCTGCACATCACTGTCCTGTTGTCTGAACCATGGACAGTTGATTGGGGTGGGTGGGAAGGTTCACTTTGCTGTAGGACTCCTCTTACTTCTGATGAACTGGGTTAGTTTGTGAATCGTTCTGCCCTCCTGCGGGTAGTGTGCCTTTTTTGTGCGGTGTTCATGGCTAGAGTCAGTGTGTTCAGCTCCTCAAACAACTCTTACACAAAGCAGTGGAAGCCAGATAATGAGAACTAATCTTAAATGAGCTCTATCGTGTGGCAAGAAGTATGCTGAGTGAATGGACACTTTCATCCTGGCCTCAAAGTATGTACATTTTACAGAAGGGGAAACTGAGTCCTAAGATGTTCAATAAGAAGCTTAAGATAATATAGCTGGTAAGGCATGGAATTGGTATTCAATCCACCCACCAATGCCCGAACCCGTATTTTCTGTTTGCAGGCACCAAAATGTTGTCCCAAATTGTGGCTACAGGGCAGAGAGCCCACCCCTCCCCCACTGCCATGTTCACTGCAGTCAGTGAGACAACTTTCTGCGTATAATTTTTCTGCCTTTTAAATCCCAAACTCTTTATCGTTTCTTTAAGTTCCCACAGAGATTCCTTTTCCTACATGAACTCTGTATAACAGGTAAAACACTGAATGCTAAGTTTTCTTAAGAGCACTTAGAAAATGGAAGACATAAGGAGAAATAAAATACATCTTAGTAAAAAGTATATACCACGTGTCCACTAAATATCACGTTATGCATGAGGGATGAGGTTACTAATTCTCTAAGACCTAGTTTTGGTCTTCATGGAGTTGTAAGTTAAAGAAGATTAAAATAACATAACAGAACAAAAGTCAATCGTGCAAGGCAGGATAGATTTGGTTTACTTTTAAATAAGCTCTGTGTGGATTTAGAAGAGAGGGGAATTATGAAAAGGTGTAGGGGTTCACTACAGTCTTTTTGGAGGAACTGAGACATGAAGAGTACATAATATTAAGAAAGAGAGAGGGAGTGAGGGAGGGAAGAAGAGAGTCAATTTCAGAAAGCATAAGGAGATAAGAGCGAGCATGATGCTTTTGAGAACATGTCAAGATTGGTCTATCCTAAAACAGGCTGGGAAACAGCCTCTGAGAATCAGGATAGGCTGATAAAATGAGGGAAGGATTATGACTGTCCCTAAAACTCCTTAAAAGAGGCTCATACTTATGAGAAAACAGAACCGTTGTGGGATAGGGAATAGTGCACTGCTGTGATGTAAAAATACCTTAAAATGGGGGTGGCTGGGAGTTGGTGGGATAGAGGAGGCAGGTACGGAAGAGACTTTAGTAGTAGAGAGGGAAGAGAACAACGCTCCTTTGTGCTTGGTGAGAGGAAGCAAGGACTTCAGTAAGGTAACTATCGCGGGGAAGTCAAAACAAAGGCTGAGCCTGAGAGCTTATCAAAGGACAAATGGTCAGGAATTGGTGGCTGTGAATAAATTGAACTCTTTAAAGAGTGTGGAGCCCTTTGTAGAAGCTGGGAAGTTGGAGAGGCAACTGTGTAGGCAGAATGCTTAGAAAGTGGGATGATAGTGAGCTGCGAAGTGCAAGTGCCCACATGAGCGTGAGAATTAGAGGACGGAATCTCAGACAAGGGGAAAACGCTTGCCACCTCGAGAAACTCGACAGTGACGGCAGCGTTGGGTGCCCTTGCGGTGAGCGTTGCAGCACGTGGGGACTGTCCAATTCTGACCGGTTCTGTCATCACACTGTGAACTTTCCAGGCCGGGAATTTCTCCTACTGACTGTAGCTTCCCAGTGTTTAGCATAATGATGGGCGCATGTAGGGGTGAAATATGTTTTCTTAACAGATGGGAACGTTGAATGGTGGAGGCACAGTAGTTGGTATGTGCAATATTTGTGTGCCGGGTGTCTGGGGCAGGAGGAAGAGGCAAGATTAAGGATTCTTTTCCTCAAAATTTAATGCTGATGTGGAATTTTAATATAATATACTTTTTAGAAAGTTGAGATGTTTAAATGAAAAGGTTACAAATTTCTAAAATCATCTACTTCAAAATATGAACAGGTGATTGGAAACTTCTCTGTATCTTCAGTTCTATCATCTCTCTCATTTTTGGTGTTGCACATTTGCATTTTCTCTTTTTTCTCAGTAGACTTTGTGGAACTCGGCATTATTTATAAATTCTAGCTTTTGTTTTGCTTTTAAATTCTCATTTTTATGACTAAAATTTCCTCCTTATTTTGGCTTATTTGACTTCTTTCTTTTTTATTTTTTGAAAGCAAGATTTGTCTCTTTTACTTTACTCTTTACTAATAAGTGTATGCAACACCAGTATTTTCTTATGAGTATTGCTTCAGACAATCTGTAGATTTTTATGTGTAGTGCTATCATTAGTGTTAATTTTTAATGGTCTTTAATTTTAACTCTTACTGTTTTGACCTGGAAATTACTTAGAATAACTGGTTAATTCCCTTTCCATTCATTTATTGGCTGCCTTTTAATTATTAATTTCTGGCTTTATTGTATTGTGTTCAGGGAATGTGGCTTGTATGAATCTTTCCTATTATGTCCCTGAGACACTTGTTTGTTGGTAATGTTCCACAACTGTATCTTTAATTCAAAGTTATTTTCAATCTTTGTATCTTTTGTTGCTGAGCAATAAATATTAAAGTATCCCATAATTGAAATGTTATTGTGATTTTGTATTTCCAAAAAAATATTGTTTTATTTTTCTGTTGCAGCACTGTTTATGGGATAAAAGTAGCCTCATTCTTTCTTTTACCTTTTTTCTTTTTTTTTTTTTCCGCATTCTTTCATCCACTCACTTATCAGTTTGACAAGTAATGGAGAATCCATTATGCTCCAGTCCTGGGTTGAGCTCTTAGGTGATGGCAAATATCAAGATAGACTCTCCCCTGATGTCATGGAGTGTGTGTGTTTTAGAGAAGGTGATGTTAACACTCATGCAATGCTTGACACTAAGTGTGAAGGATGTTATGAGAGAAGACAGGTACTGAGGGAGGCTTAGCATGCAGTTCCCTGGCCTCCCTGAGCCCTGGGGCCAAGGCAAGGCCTCCCTGAATTTACATTTAAGCTAAAACTGGCATATATTTGGATCTGAAAGCAGACAGCGTTTGTCATGGTTCTGGAAGGAAACCCATGACATAAATTGTAACTCAAAGAACATGGTGCAAGTATTAAAAATAGAAAAGTACAAGCAAGTGGTAGTTGTAGGGAACTGTTCTGTACCCTGCGACTAGCCTCACTTCAGGCCTTAGATAGGAAACAGCAGGTGGTTATTGGATAGAAGGGCTGTTTCTCCTAAAGCAGCTGACCTTGTGATTTCAGATCAGTGTTGGCCGGTGTCATCTAGGGGGAAGAAGGTAGGAGGTTGTGCACTCGGACCACATATTTTCCTCCTGTCCTCTGCAGGTGCTCCCCTCTGGCTAAAACTAACTGGAAACCAGAAGGGAAGACAGCTCATTGACTTGCTCCTCACAGTCTGGTCATCTGGGGCCCAGGGCAGAGCAGGAGGACTGAGAGACGACACAGAAGGGCACCCAAGAGATAGTAGGTTCACAGCACAGTCCAGTCAGGTCCAAGAGACATGGAAGATAAGAGAAAGGCACAGCGAAGCCAGAAATGCTTGGTGAGTCTTGGTCATAATTCTGGATTTTGTCCTTTGGGAAGTGTGAAGTGACTGATTAGTTTTAAGCAAGAGAGCAAGTGCAATGCATTTGCATTTATAAATGATAACTCTGGCTAGAGTGAGGAAAAGGTGTTGGAGGAGATGATGATTTCTCTTCCAGGATGGGACACTGGAGAGGATGATGTGACAATGAGCTTAATTCTGAGCATCTTGCGGCTGAAGTAACTGACTGCATCTGTACCGTCAGTTCAATACAGTTAAATGGTGTGTGAGGTTAGGAATCAATGAGACCCTGTAGAACAATGATGTTGAACCTTTTAGAGATCGAGTGTCAAACTGCAAGCCACTTATTTATTGCAAAGTGCCACCATTTCAATCAAACCCGAATACTGATGTTTTAGTTTAGAAAAACAACTACATTAACATCTTTTGTTTTAAAAGAAGACACAATAATACATGTGCCATTCACCACCACTGCTCTAGAATCTGTGTGTGTGTACATACCTTGGGAGGCTGAGACAGAAGGAAAATCAATTTGAAGCCAGCCTGGGCTACACAGTGAGTTCAATGCCAGCATAGACTATACAGTGAGGCCCTGTCTGAAGAAACAAAACATAAAATCATAAAAGGATCAGGAGTCCCAAGATCAAAGAAATTGGTAGAGAAGTTGCAGTATTCAGAGGAGGAAGGACAGGAGTAGGTGGAAGGACACCTGGAGAGCTAGAAGGAAACAGCTCTTGTTTCTGAATTGCCAAGTAAACTCTGACATCTTCCAGATCACTGCAGGCTTTTGTATCAAGGGCATGAGGATAAACTCAGGTCATTTCAGGAGACGGGTCGAGTTCATGTTGACATTTGGTAGGCTCTCTTTGTCACCAGTAAAGAGTCTAGTCTAGAAATCTGAAACTTTTCCAAGCCAGATACACTGGTAAGGGAAATGGCTTCCTGCAAGATATCTGTGTCTGCAGATTGTGTTTCTGTGAAGCCAGTTCAAAGCCAGGATGTGTTGGACGGCTGCAGAGAAAGGCGTAACAGACCCCGTGGGACTGGAAACTCATACAACAAACTAATCACCTAATTTCTTTGGACTTAATGACTAAATGTAGACTATTAAAAAATAATTAGGAATGTTTTAGGACACTGAGTCCATTTCTTCTGACAAGGAAACCTTTAAATGTCAGTGTAAGCAAACTAAATAAATAATGGCTAGCTACCCTTTTATCCAAACCAGTTGTTTGTAGAACCAGAATTTTATAGCATAGATATCAGGAAGTAATTATCTGATTCAGTACCACAATGGCCTTAAATGTGCTAAACAGCAGTATTCTAATACAAATAAGGGGTGAACTGTGTGGAAGTTTGATTAAAGTCCATAGTGAGAGAACCACAAATAAAAAGGCCGATACAAGTTCTTACAAAAAAGAGATATAATTGTGTAGACAGCAAAATAAAATATTGTTAAGGCTGACCTTACAATCTGGGGTTAATTTCTCTTCCAGGTTAGGAACTTAAAACATTTATTTCATTTTTGTACATTAACTGCCAACCCTCAAGGGTATAAGCCATTGGAACTATTTCTCAGTTATGGATTGCTAGCTACATACATTGTGACAACAAAGTTATATTCCCCAAGAATGTCAGAAAAGTGCTTACTTGGAAATGGTCCTGCATGTTAGAGAAAGAAAGAGCTAGCAATTATTATTTTTTTCTTCTTCCAAGATGGAGATAACTTTTTCCTCTCACAATACTGTTAATGAATGACCCTGGCATTTCAAACTGCTCTCCCTGAGAGAAAGATACATGTTCAAGAGACTTTGTGTCATGCATGAACTCAGTCTCCCATAATTCTGAAGCTCATCAGCAGCTATTCTCCCTAGCCAGAAATGTCAGGCAGGTTTAGGAAATTTATCAGGCTTCTTGAAATTCGAGTTTCTTTTCTTCAAACTTCCTGCTAATCTTCCTTAAGCCTTTGTTAATGAAAACTGGCTGAGAATGTATTCATAATATTTACAGTAGTCTAAGCATTGATATTCATATGACAGAACACATATGTATTTTAAGGGAAATGATTTCCATATCATTAACTTCTTTATGTAACCTTTCTAAAAATAATCTGAGAACTTGTGTGTGTGTGGGGGGTCTCATCTCCTATCTCTCATTTCACAACTATCTTTGTCCAACTTTGTACAAGAAAGAATTTTTGTTTACAGAATTGACTTGTGGTTTAAAAACCTGTAGGGCATGAAACAAAGGGTATTAAGGAAGCTTTCTTTAATCTAGAGTCTGACCCCAATCATTTTATTAAGAAACGTAATTCTAAAAAAATTCACCTTTAATATTAAAATTTATTAAAACATATATTTCATGTTGTTTCCTTAAAGGTATATGAATAATTGTATATATAACAATCTAGACAAATTATTTTCACAATTAGTATGTCAGAGGAATTAAAAATAATTTAAATTTCATGTATCATTTGGTGCAGACTTCTTGGGTGATAAAGACTTAAAACAAAATATATTTATGAAAATTAAAGTGTGCAGAAGTTGAATAGAAATATGAGTTTAAGGAGAAAAAAGAGCAATATAAAGTCTTTAATTGTTAATATAGAGCTTGTTCATGAATTTTAATTGGATATTGGTGGGTATCAAATCACTTTGGATTAAAATTTTATTGGATATATTTAAAAATTATCATATGAGTTTTATTTGAAAATGCCAATATTTATAATACAGTGGAATTAACAACTCTGGCAGCTATTTAAGCATTTTAATGTTAAAATATATTAAAAGTTATCTTTAACATATTTAATGTTAAAATATATTAGAAGTTATCTTTAAAAAGAAAGTTCTATAACTTTATAATTTTTTGAATACATTGGTAGCCACTATTTGAATATACTGATTGTCCCAAAACAGAACTCACTTTGATGATGGTACAGGAATTATTCTGAATGCAGCAGACCCCTCTTACCTGAGGTTTCACTTTCCATCATTTCAATTACCTGTTGTCAGCTGTGGTCCAGAAATATTAAATGGCAAATTTCAGAAATAAACAATTAAAAACCTTTAGTTTTATGAGAGTCCCTTTTTACAGCTATTATCTTTATTGTTAGTTTGTGACTAATTTATAAATTAAACTTTATCATGGGTATATGCATGAATGTATAGGACAAAACTGTCTATATAGGGTTTGGTATTATCTCTGATTTCAAGCACCCACTCAGGATCCTAGAGCATGTTCCCCATGAGTGAGGGGATACTATTGTACATGTTTCTGTTTAATCCCTTAAACTTGTGTCCCCTACAGCTTTGGGTGGTAAGGATCAATTAAAATTCATGCCACTTCGTGAACATTTCCGCTTAGATGTGCATTCAGCCATAGCAAGATGGAATCTTTTAGATACAACATTCTGCCTTTTCTGAATTTGTGGATATTATGTGCAATAAATTATCAAACAGAGTACTTCTGAGCTACTATAGAGAGGTGTCTGTTGCAGATACTACCTGGGTTATCTGTTCTATCCACTTTGGCAAATAGGAAACTGTTTCCTCTTATCAAAAGAAGTTTAAACTTTGCTTGCTATATTCAGTAGGAAATGCTGATTTCTGGCATCAGAATAAGACTGAATAAGTCTTTAGGTGACAACTAAGATTAATATAGGCACATGCATAGGATTAATAACCTTGTGAAAAAGGCCCAGAGAGCTGCCTTGTCATTTCACCACATAAGAGCAAAGGGAGAAGGCCCATTTCTTGGGCATCAAATGGGTCCTTCCCAGACAACAAAGCAGTTGATGCCTTTGTCTTCCAATTCCCAGCCTCCTAGAATGGTGGGAGCAGAAACAAACCTACCATATTTTTTTATGGTATCCTGAACAGATAAGAACATAATAATAACATGTGATAAGGTCAGATGTCAGTTTATTTTAAAAATACAAAAAATGACTACAGTAGCTGAGGCTAAAATACCACAAAATTTTGCCTCATGAGTTATCTTCTGAATTCTGAGTTTGTGTCCCTGGGTAGCCAGTTAGGTCTGGGACCCGGATGAGTAAGTAGTCAGGTGTGGATAAATTGTTCCACCTGGCCTTTTGGGATGATGTGTTAGCACCACTCCTAAAACCCACCATCCCAACCATTTCACTCCATCCCAAGTCCCTCATCACAGGAACTTCTTTGTCCTTACTGCAGGACTTTTCAGGCCTCTGTCCCTCTCAACACTCTACGTCTGTTTCTTAGTCTAATGGGACTTCTGAATTCTATGCACCTATAAATAGATCATAGGGATTCTAGAGAGTGCCTCTGACTCTTGGAGCTACTCCTAATCTTTTTTCAGTGCCTTCTCACACCATATCTGAGACTTCTCGAAGTATGTGGTCTTCCCTTAGAACACCCTGGGAGGTATTTTCCACTCTCTGACACTCTTGGACTCCTTCCAAGTTTATCTGTGTCTGACATTCTATCACTACAGGAGTGTCTGTCCTTAGCAGTGAAGGGAAAAGACAAGTCCTGACTTTTAATTTTCCTGTTCTGTTTCCATCTTTCTTTTTCCTCTGTCAATGTATCATTAAAATCGAGCTTTCTGTCAGCCCTCCACCTCTTGTCAGACTTAGATAAAACTCTACAATCAAGATGGATAAGACTTGAATTTAGAATTTTTATGTGTTCTAAGTATCATGTAAGTTTGTTACCTCATGAATTTCCTTTTGTTCCCTCTGCATCATTCATTCATGGATTTATGTATTTAACCACCTCACTGACTTTACTGTGTTTCAGGTATCTTTGAAGGAAGCCTATGGAAGAGCAACAATAACAACAACAACAACAACAACAACAACAACAACAACAACAAACAACAGAAGTGTAAAAATCAAGAAGAAAAAACTAAGAGCAGAAACAAACTTTGGATGAAGTTTGAAATTAAAATGCATGCAATCAACCACTATTATTGGAACTGAGTTGTCACTGGTTTTGAGCTGTTTTAGCAGTCAAAATGAAGAAGAAAAAAAATCAGTCCATGGCAATTACCTTGTCAGTGTGACAAAAACGAACCACAGGTACAGGTACAAGTTGCCCTCATATTAAGTCTGCAGAGAATTTTTTTTTCATGGCATCTCATAAAAAAACATGAGTTAATGTGTAAATGATTTGCTCAATAAAATCCTCACAGTATGCCCAGCAGTGATGCTGTAGGACTGTTGTTTGTAATATCCCTTGCAGTAAACTGATTCCATTATGACAAAACAGAGTTCCATGAAGGAAGAAAACAATAATGTAGTAGGTCAATAGGGGACATGCACTGAAATAGCCAAGATAAAAGTTGAGTTTGAAACCACAAATTATGTTTTTGGAAAAAAATCAGGGAAGTCTAAGGTTAGATCCAATAGGATAGTGGGGAATGGGGAAAAAAGGCTTGTCAGAATATGGCCTCTCTGATATATCATATATATATATAATATATATATATAATATATATATGTATATATATAAAAATATATATTATACATGCACAATATACACATAAATCTGTGCAGTCAATACAACACATACACACACATACACTCTGTATTGATATTTCTTAGTTTTCTTTTTAAGCCAGTATTATGCTGAGAATTGCAATGCCTGAGGGCTCTCTACAACTGAGTTTCATTTGACTGACATTATGGTTTATTATTATTTTCCTTTTTCTATATGAGGCACCTGACTGCTTTTCCTAAGTGATATTCAAAACTGTGTTATACATAACTTGTGATCCACTTAATATATATTGAATTGTGAAGCCATGATCATTGGAAAAATTTAAAAATTCTCACATATTTATTTTTGAGTGTCATAATATTTCTTACTTTGTGCTTGAATGCTAATAGTATATAACATTTTGACAAATTGTTTCTAGGACATTCTATTCTGCAATGTTTAGGTTGCTTTTGTCAATGTTTCATAACCTCTGAAGTGTTTATTTTCATTTTTCTTCAGCCTTCTTACCACATTTATTTCTGCTTTCTTAATCTTTGAATTATTATGTTGTTCATCTTTTCTTTTCTCTTTCTTTTAAACCATTTTTGCCAAGCTCTGATCATATTCTTACATTTCTGACCTGCTTTAATTCCTAACTATCTTTGCAAACACTTTTGGATACTTCAACAGTGAGTGTATTTTAAGCACAATAAAATATATTGGCTTTAATTGCCTCTTTCTTTTACTTTTATATCTTTTTACGTTGTTTAGGCTGACTTTGAACTCACTATGTAGCCCAGGCTTGAACTGGAGCCAGTCCCCTTCCTTCAGCCTTCTGAGTGCTGGGATTACAGGTGTACACTACCTCATTCTTTTATCTGCTGAGCACATATAAATGATCCTGAATAAGTGTGTATGCTGCATTTCTGGTCAATAGAACTTGTACATCACTGTGAAACAATTTTACTCATTGATTTTTGCTGGTTCTTTTAAAATGTTAATATGGGTAAGTTAAAAATTATATTATAGGAATTTATATGCAGACTTATTACTGGCTTTTGATGGCAAAAGGAGTTTGAAAAGAAATTAGTAGGATCCTCTGTTATTTTTGCCTACCAATTATTCATTCTTTTTCAATAGCATTCTGGCTTTGCATTGGGGAACCACTTCTTCCTGTTTCCCAGATCTGAACAGTTCAGTTCAAGCAGATTGAGTCCCAAGAAGTTTTCTGGTATTATTGGAAAAGAAGCCTGATCTTTTGGCTAGATTTGTTAAGGTGGAAGTTATGATAGGCAGAATAATGGTCCCTTCAGATATCTATCTTTATTCACGTGGGTTGCTGTAACACAAATATCACAAATTGGACAGCCTTAACAACATTTATTCTCCCCAGTTGTGCAGGCTGGAAGTTTAAGATTGAGACGCTGGTAGGTTCAATGGGAGGCAAGAGCAAGCCAGCTTCTTGGTATGTAGGTGGCTGGCTTCTTGTTATAACCTCACATAATAAGCAAGGGAGACTATTCAAGGCCTCACCATTTATACACTCATCATCTGTTAATGAAACCTCTACCAAAGGTAAAACCTCCACTATCATTACATTGGGGATTAGAACTTCAATATATAATTTTTTGTGGGGGGGCACAAACATTCAAGTGATAGCAATGACCATGTCCTATTCCTGTTAGCCTATAAATATGTTACATTATACGGTAAAGGGATCTTGCAAATGTGATTAAATAAATGATTTTGAGATAAAGAGGTTGTTCTGGAACATGTGAGTAATCTCAGTGTAGTCAACAGGGTTCTCATAATGAGGAAGTAGGAGGGTCAGGAGGGCCAAGAGACCAAACTGCTCACAGAAATGAAGTAAAGTTCAAGTTCAGGATGTTTCAGTTAGAAACAAGTACTGCATTCTCTGTTGGACTACAAACCGTGTGTGTTATACTTTCGCAGAGCAGCTGGCAGCAACACCCACATGTCTACTGCTGCAGCTGACAGCAGACCTTGGTGACATCCTCCTGGCTCTGGTTTTAGGTGCACACAAAATGCAAGAATTGTAGAGTCAGGAAGGCTTCCAACCAGATTTCAGAAGTCCTTAGAGATCAGGCAGTGTCCTCCTGAGAGGGACGTGTGTAAAACTGTGAGTGTGAAGCCAAAGGTGCAGTGAAGATCCCCCCAAAATGGAGAAGCCAGGAATGTGGATTATTTAGGAAAGTAGCAAAGAGTGAGTAAAGCCAGCCCAAGGAAGAATCTACAGGAGCTTTTAGCACCAGAGTGTTATGCTGTAGGGCCCAGATCCACTCAAGCCCTTTGGAGTTCACATCTTGCCACAGATTGCCAAGGATGCTGCAAGTGGAGCAGTGGAATTTAATGTTTACCTGCTGGATTTTGGACTTGTTTTGTTCCCATTCCTTGCTATCCCTTATTTATACCATTTGGAATGGGAATGTTTATCTTGTGCCATTTATGTTGTAAGTGTTTAACTTTCTTTTCATTTGTGCAGAGGCTCCCTGTAGGGGGCAGCTGAAGCTGGAGATTGATCACACATGTGGGGCTGGAGCAAGACTGGTCTAAAGGACAAAGAGCACATGAGACAAGCCACTGAACAAGCTACTCCAGTCCAGAGAACACCAGGCACCCAAGGCAATCCAAGCAATGGGTTTCTTGGCAAAGGGGTGTCATGTGACACCAACCTGTCAAATGTATAAATAAATATCTGCAGTGGTTGAGTAGGTCCTTTCTTCCATCTGGAGAGAGGGCTGTACCTGATTCAGCTTTCTGCATCTTGTCTTAATTTCTTCACCTTCTTGACAACCTTCATGATTCTTACCCTGGGAAGTTTGAGAGCTGAGTAGGCCATGGCATAATGGCACCTGAGCAGGGACCTAGGACATGAGGAAAGTCATCATGTAGCAGGTGAGAAGGACACTTCTAATGTGTGCACAAAGGAAAGAGGTGTATACCCTCAATATTAAGCTCATTGATATCATCAATAGTGAGCCCAAAAGTATATTTATAGCCTCAATATTGAGCCTATTAATATCATCAATACTAAGCCCATATCAGACATAAAACCCAGGGAAAACAGATTGTTAATAACCACAGATATATAGTATATAGAAATGCTTGTTGTATTCTTGATTCCTGTATTTACTTTTTTTTTGTGGATTTGGATCAGAGAGTGCCTTAATGGTCATAAACTTGCTGAGATGATCACAAAGGATTTGGCTCAGAGCACTATTTTAAAATCAGGTCCTAAACAGGAAGAAGATGGCAGAACAACAGCCATCCCAACAGAGCTTACGCCCTCTAGTTTTGCTCAATTAGATAAAGAAGGAGTAGGGGGGATAGACTCTTCCCCACTAGAGGAGTGTTTCACTGTGAATTCCATTTCACAATGCCCAATAAACTTAACTGAGCCACAAATGATAATTCCCACCTTTTCAGCTCAGAGGAATTTTGCTGCATCATGGGTTGGAACTTCTGCCTCCCCAAGTAGATTCACTTTCTCTCTTTTTCTTACAATTGGTACTAAAAGAAGCCAGATGGGTGAAGGAGTCCATGAAGGGTTTCAACATGTCTACCCTGTTACTGAAGCTCAAGTTCCCAGTAATCCAGGCAAATTATACATCTTCATGAAGCTGTACCTTTTTAGACCTTAAGAGAATTAAAATAAGGTACTACTACCTACGGTCCTATGACTTCTTTTACCTTGGGTTTAATAGAACTCCTAGGGCAACATATTATGGCCTCAAATGACTGGAAAGGAATAGCTAAAGCATGTTTAAGTCCAGGGGATTATGTGTTGTGAAAAGGAAAAATTTTTGAATTACACACAAATCAAGCCCCTCACAATATAACTATTACAAAAGACATGTTAACTGGAGAAGGCACCTTTGCTGCCACAAATAATCAGTTTACTTTTGAATTGCAAGTATATGAACAGATTAAAATAGCTGCCCCAAGGGCTTGGAAGGAACTTCCTTCAGAGGAGGAGATATCCCTTGATTTGACTTTTATTTGTGAGGGTTCTGATGAATCTTTTCAAGATTTTGTGGCACTTATTACAGGTTAGTAGGAGGATTATAAGTGACACAGAGATTAACAAGTTAATAGTTCAATAGTTGGCCTTTGAAAATGCAAATAAGTGGTGTAAAGATGCTTTAGGAGCCCACAAAAGTGGGCCATCCTGGCTGAGATGACTCAAATTTGTGCAGACATTGGCCCCTGATATGTACAGGGGGCTGCCTTAACAGTAGCTATCACTCAGGTTATTAATTCACAGCCTAGAGGACAGGGAAAGAACAGGGTTACTTGTTTCAGCTGTGGGAGCAAAGGAAATTTTGCCCCAAACTGCTCTGCTGTATCTGTAGGGGCAGCACAGCTGCTATCTGTCCCTTTAATAAAACCTTCTACTCTCTGTCCAAAGTGTAGATGGGGATATCACTGGGCCACTTGGTGTGAACTCAAAGTCGATGTGGAAGGCTGACCTATTCTGGGAAAATTCTAGTGGGGCTTGCCCTGGCTATACTAAACAGTGGAGGCACTGTGGCACAAAGGGCTTCCCTGAGACAGTACAGCCTGGCCACAGAAATTCCTTATAATCCTCAAGGTCTAAAAATTGTTACATATGCTCACTATACACTCAAAATTCAATTACAAAAACAAAAGGGAATTCCTCTTTACAAAATTTACACCTCATAATAGACTTCACTAGGCGGTATACATTATTAACTTTTTAAATCCTACTAGGGGTGGAACTATAACAACAAAAAAACAATTCAATCTGGTAAAAGAAAAAAAAAATAGGAAGAGTCCTTTTGAAAAATCTTCACATTGGACAATGGTAGGGACCTAGCCCATACTCACTTGTTATGGAGGGTGTGCTTGTGTCTTTCCAGAGAATGCTGAATGCCTATCTGGGTGCCAGAGCATGCTATCTGGCTGTATCATGGACCAAGAACTGGAGAAGGAGTTGATTCCACCTTTCAAGAAAATGATACTCAGTCTTATGACAGTGATTCCTTGGAGACCATGCCACAACCAATAGACAAGGATGGGGCTAGATCTCACCTGGGGTCAATTAAAGGAATTGACCCAAAATGCCCAGGAGATGGTAACAAAAAATGGGAGTCAAAGGTCTGAGTAGGTGATAGAGTGTGCGGAGATAACCAAGCTGAAGGTTATATGAAAGAAGGGGACACATAAGTTACCAGTATTCTTAAGACAAAATTATAAAAATTATATATTAGTTATAGATAAAAGATTTTATTCCTTCCAAATTCTTCTTATAAGAGGTCTCTGCTATTGACCTACAAGTAATTCTGGCTAGTCTATTTGTAATTACAAATTTCTAAAATTGTAAAAGTTATTATAATTTAATTTGATCAAAAATATATTTTAGTGCACTCTGATTTTATAAGATCTGTTTGTTTGTAAGATCTGTCTGTTTGTCCAGTTTGTTAAGCTCTATACTGGTTTATTTGTCTGTTTGTCATATCCATGAACAGCTTTTTTTAATTTGAGCTCCACTTTTTTTTCTTTTTTCCTCTCTTTTATATTTTTGGATCATTTGTTCAAAAATTTAATTTGGTTTATGGATTTAAAAGGCATGCTTCCACCTGGGTTGCCAGCTGGCCAAAATGATAACAAATTTGATTTTTTCATAGGTCATCAAATAAATTGTTAAGATAATTAAACAAAAATTCCTTAAGGTGGGGAGAAACTATTGGATAGGACTTCAGTTGATGAATAAGTAAGCAGTTATCTGGAAACATTATCCAGTTCTTGTTCATTAATAGAAGGCTGCAATGATCTCCATAGCCTTATGGGAGTCACCCCAATAATTGTTGTTAAAAGTATATTATAGTAAGATGTTTACATTGGTCATTGTCAAAAGATTAGGTTTTCTAGACAATAAGATTTTTGATTTAAAGATGTTCTGGCACAAAGGTTTTCATATGGCTATGACAATTGATTGTTATTATTCTTGTGCTGTATTAAATGTGTTGATTCCTGCAGATGTGTAGGTCTTCCAAAGTGTGGAACAAGGATTGCTTATAGTGATAGACTTTTCTTTCAGATTCAGACATCCGCCTTTAACAAAATCTTATGTGATCTACATCCCATTAAATATCAACAAGTTAGGTTAAAGTTTCTTATGTATTAGATAGAGGTGATTGATTTAAAAAGCTATACTATGTCAAAATGAAAATTTAAGTGTGTTATAAAATGTCATCATGATTGTCATGCTACAATATTATGCATGGTTTTGATTTCTAATTTTCTGTGTTAAATATGTAACCGTTGTTTGTTAACATTCTATAGGGATTCAAATATTAGAACATTTCATGATTGTTAGAAAATAGTGGTTGTATTTTATGTTCTAAGGTGTTTGATATTCAGTTGAGAGTAATATTAAACTTACTGCCTTCATTACAATGTAATATTGTCAATCTTCTCTTCTAGATGTTTAACAACTGAGGTTTAGAGACCAAAAATTAGAGAGATAGGTGAGCTAAGAGTATAGCCAATATTTTTGCTCTAGCTCTCCGAGGTCAATGAGGACCCAGGACATAACAGAACCTCTTCTGTGGCTCCTATAACTCAGTGAGTCCCTGGTCTTCTTACCAAGGAGATTTTGGGACCACAGAGAAAAGTGATCAATGATGTATAGTGTGCCTAAGGAGTGTCACTAGAGAGAAAAGTCTCCCAAACTTTCACAGAAAGCAACTTGGTCAAGCAATAGCCATGACTCATTCAGATCGCTGACACTGACAAAAGTACTAAGAGGTGTTATACATGATTCCAAGATAATCCCGAGGCAACTTAACTGACCTTGATAGACAGCAAGAGATTAATCATAATTAATACAGGTCTCAACTTAACTTGATTTTGAACATCCTGAAGAGAAGTATGACTACAAGAGGTATAAAGCAATGCCATCATAATATGCTAGCTATAAAAGAAACTCAAATCACTAACACTCTTTGACAATTTCCAGTTACACTGGTAACTGACTACTGTTAAGGACTAATGGGCTACATAAGATTAATTTGCTGAACACAGGGACTTAAAATCCTTGAACTGGAAATCTTCAACCTAAATGAGTAAGTTCACTGAGAATAAAAAGGGTTCAAATATGAGAAGGTCTCCTATGGAGTCCTCCAAACACAGTTCCTCCAACTTCAACTGACCTCCCATTGTTTGCAACTACAAAACAGAATAGGGGGAGAGATACAGGGACTGGCTGAAGCTGGAGACTGATCACATATGTGAGGCTGCAGTAAGGCTGGTCCTGAGAACAAAGAGCACCCAAGGCAGGCCACATGAACAAGCTGCTCCAGTCCAGAGAACACCAGGAACCCAAAGCAATCCAAGCAATGGGTTTCTAGGCAAAGGGGTGTCATATGACACCAACCTGCCAAATGTATAAACCAGTGCACTATGGTGGTTGAGTAGTTTCTTTCCTCCCATCCAGAGAGAGGGCTCCACCTGATCCCAGCTTTCTGAATCTTATCTTCATTTCTTCACCTTCTTGCCACCCTTCACAGTCCCTAGCCTAGGAAGTTTGACAGCCATGCAAGCCATAGAAGCTCCTGGCTGAGTTTGCCTTAAGTCTCAGAGGAGACTTTGGCATTGGATTTTTAAGTAGTGCTGAAACTTTTAGGACTCTGGCAACTCTAAGAGATGGACTGAATGCCTTTTGAATAAAGGGATGTGACTGAGCATTTTGGGGACAGTGATGGAACATTATGCCTTGTATCTAGATGTCATGCCAAAGTCTCATGCACTCATAGGTTGGGGGTTTCTAAGGTGGCTGGATTAAGATGTGTAAATGTGTATTAACAGTGCGATACTGGGGCGAAGGGGGGTAGATAACGGAAGTTCCACTCAGTACAGAT